CACCCCATTACTATAACTTTGTTGAATATTGAGACATGGTATCAAAAAACATGTGGCATCTATTATTATTTTTTTTTAAAAAGACATGTATCTACAGTCAATAGTCAAGAACGTATAAAGTCGCATATGTTTTTCAATATTTTAACTTGAAACTTTCATTTTAGAAAATTAAAATTTTTTTAAACATTTCAACACTTGCTCCAAAAGTCTATTTGGTTAACCCCCCAAAAAAAGTCTATTTGATTAGAAGATGCACCTTTAATCCTTTGGAATAAGTTTAAAGATTCCTCTCTTAAAATTGTAATTGTTCAAAACACAAGAGTATGCTACAAATATATAAGAAAAAATTTATAAAACTAAAATAATTTAGTCTTCAAATTTTAAGATGAAACAAGAAATATATTATATTAAACCTTATTTGACCAGGTATAGTCTCTCATGAGTGGTCTTAGAGTCAAGGTAATTCAACCTTGAGCATAGTACATTGAGGGTTTATATTCTTATAAAATTTATCAATTTGATTATAATTGAGTATATCAAGTTTTCTCTAAATATATTAGGTTTATTGAACCTCACCTAATGACCTTAGTATATGTATAAGACTTTATTTGAATTACTTAAACTTAACCCCCCTAAAACCCTCTAATTGTTTATCTTTGAGACAATTAACCTCTCAACCTACACATTTTGTGTTCCTACCGATAAATTTCACATTATTACTGTAATTAGCCTAAAATAACTAGAATTTTATCTTGTGAGCCAAATGCATGTCTCTAATTCGTTACCTTATCCTCACCAGCACCATATTGACATAAATATGATTCACTTGAATTTATAGAACTAGGAAAAATCATGCACAAAGCACACATATATCTTATCTTGGTCAAGAATAGAGTAACAAAGTAGAGACAACCACATGACTCAAGTGATGTGCTTATGTTTATTTTAGGATAATTACAATAATAACATAAAACTTATGAACTAAAACACAAAAAATAAATGTTGAAGAGCTAATTATATCAAAAAACAAACAGTTAGAGGACTTATGAGGGGTTATGCCTATTCCTTACCGCCATAATCTCCCCCAATATCAATCCAATCAAATCGAGCCACCTCATCATATGCCCATTCCACCAACCCCCAAGGGCGTGTTTGGTTTGATGTTTGGAAGAAATTGTTTTTCCTAAAAGCTCCTTCTTTTGCAAACTGTTGTTGGGTAAATAGTGAAAATGCTAAACAGTAGAGTATTTAATTGATTAAAGTTGATATTCTTTAGGGATTCAAAAGAATAACTTCATGAAAAATACTGACCTTATTCAAATAGTATAGTGGCTTCTCTTCCAGCAGCAATCTCTCAAAAAAGAAAGCTATCCAAACAGGACAAAAGTCAAATCCCCCAATAAGGCAGCTGCCTTGTTCTTCTATCCCTCAAAAATGGAAGATGTTAGGTATTGGCTTAAAAATGGCAGCTGTTTCCAATTTGGTAAATGGCCAAAATAATACATGGCAACTTCTTTGCTGAGACAGCAACACACACACTCACTCACTAAACATGGAAGGGGAAAGCTTCATGGGTACTCTTCTCTCCTGCTCTATACAAATACAGAACCCAGAACCTCCCCACCCATCCTAATTCCCTGCTCTAAATCTCTTGGCCTTTGTTTGAATTCCTCTCTGATTCCAATGGCATCATTGTTTCTCCCAGTCGGTTGTGGCTTCTTTCCTTCGCCTCAGGAGCTCCTCCGAAGCTACTTGAGGCCTAAAAACAGCTCGAACACCAATCCTCTTGGTCTCGATGGACAGAGTTTGATCAAAGAGGTTAACCTGTATGATTATGCACCGTTTAATTTACCTGATATCGCGTGCTTCCGTTACGGAAACGAAAACAGGAAGAGGCATTGGTTGTGTTATACACCAAAGGAAGTGATGGAGAACGCAGAAGGGTGGAGGAGGACCGAAGGTGGGTACTGGAAGAGGAAAGGCAATGCTCTGGATGTCACTGGTTTTGGAGGGGTTTTAGGGACTCAAACAACGTTTGAGTTTTGTCGGGGGAATGCGATGACGAATGCGGTTAGGACTCGCTGGTGCATGTATGAGTATGCCCTTCCGGAGAATGTCGAGGTATGTAGCGTCTTCTCTTCTTTCCTTTAGTATCTCTAATCCAAGTGGGTGAGTTTTGTTTGTTGCTTGACAATAATCAAATTAATCGTACAATAGCTCCAAAACGCTCTTCTAAATTGCTTTTGTGTTTTCAATAATGTATGAAGATGTTAGAAATTTTAGAATTTGGGATTTTGTTTCTTCTCTCCGTAGTTGTTGTTGTGTGATAACTTTTGGGACTCAC